ATTTGCTTTTATTTTTGGCATACTTCTTATTTGCTCCCTTTTGAGGGACACTGAGGTCCGAGAGACCCACTTCGTGGTCGAATGCCACTTTCGGTGCTTAACAGGCAGTTTTCGGGGCCCCGAACTGCGCGTTTTGGCCCCCGAACATTCGTTTTGCATCGGTTTTCGTTCATTTTTGGCAGGTACCTCTGTTTCATCACCAGGAAGGCCGCAGGTACCTCTGTTTCATCACAAGGAAGGTCGTAGAAGGGTGGGAGGCCAGCAATTGTTTCAGCAACCTGTTATATTCCTCCGGCGCCCTCCGATGCTGGTTTTTTCTCACTTCCAAGCCAATGTTGAACACCCTTGGGCCATTTTCTTGAACTTTTAACCACATATTTGTGTTGTACACACATGGGAGGACACCAAAAGTTGGTGGCCGGCCAGTAATTCCACCTAACCCTTTTGAACCCTTCCTAAAAATGGCCTATTATCTCTCATGTTTTACAGTTGACAATTTTGAACCATAGGGTTGTGTTGAGGGCACCTGGGAGGACACCAATTTGTGGTGGTTGGCTAGAAAATCTTCTTGGCCCTTTTGACCCTTGGCCGGTCGGCCATGGGGGGTGGCTGACCGGCCACCTGTAGCTCCAAAAACTGGCCGGCCTTGCTCCTCAGGGTGTGTATATTCCAGCTGTATACTTTTTTCCCCCAAAAAATATGTATCCGGGGGGGACAACTTTTGGGGGGAAACTTGGCTTGTTTTCCCCCCACTTTTTCCCTCCTTTTCTCCTCCTCTTTGGTCTATATACCTGGCCTCCAGCATTGGTCCAAGGGTTACAAAAATTTCCCTAAGAGCCTCTTGCATTATATCCCTCTCCCTCTCTCATTTCCTTCAAGAAAACAACCAAGTTCTACCATTTTTACACACCACTACCTAGCATCACCACCACTAATCCATTTCCAGCAGCTTGGGGAGCTTTCCAGCAGCTAGGAGGCATCTCTTCTCAAGCCAAGAAGCAACCAAGGGTTGGTCTCCAAGGGTAAGTGTCAATTCCCTCTTTTTGAGCTTAATTTTGCAACATTTTTCTAGCCATTTTGCTTGCTGTTTTGAGCTCCGACCAAAACTGAAAGTACCCTTTATTTGAGCTCTATTTCATGTTTCATTAAGGGAATTTTGTCATTTGAGGTCCCCATCTTGCACCTCCTTCTTTATCTCTTCTTTAGGCCCTAACCTTGCATGTTATTTTTGGCCTATATGTAATCTGTTTTGGGGCATGTTATAAACTGTAAGTGAGCTTATTTTGATCCCGTCTTCAACATTGAAGAAGGCTCATCACTGTTTGGGACCTCCATGTGCCACTTGTCATTATACCCCTCTTTGGTCCCTATTTTTGCATGATTTATTAGCCTATTGTGTCTCTGTTTTTGGACCTTGGTCCGAACTGAAAGTGGACATATTTTGACGCCCTTGTCATGTTTCATTAAGAGTCTTTTTATGTTTGAGGCATGATTTGTATACTTTGTGTTATAACCTCTTTTGGGCCCTACCTTGCATGGCATTTTGAGTATGTTTGTATGCTGTTTTGGGGGCTGCCATAAACTGTAAGTAGTCATATTTTTGGTCCCTATTCAGTGTTGTAGAAGGGTATTTTTCTGTTTGGGCTTTGCATATACCACTTGCTTCATTGCCTCCCTTGCGGAGCCACTTTTGTATGCTAATTTAGCCCAATTTGTGCTTACTATTTGGCCATGCTTTAAACTGTAAAAATTCTTTTCTAGGGGCTGCCTTGATTCTTTATTTTCATCTCATGTTCAAATTATGCATGCATTGCATAGCTATAGGCCATTTCATGCACCAAAATCCATGTTTCGGGGCTCGTTCCATGCATCGGGTTTCATTTTACCGGGTTTCGGGGCTGTTTTGCATCTCATTTTACCTCTGATTTTTGCATTATAGTGTGCCATATTCCATGTTTTTGCCATGTCTTGTTAGAGTGGCATTCTATGCCGTAAGTTCGGTCCTCGGTTTGCGTGCGCGCGTGCACGCGTCTCGAGTTGTTTCTTTTTCATCTTATGGCCTCCTATGTGAGTGTGGCTGAGGCTCTCTCATGTTGGTGTAAGCCCATTATTGCATTGCGTATGCCATCTCATCATAGCATTGTGTTATGCCCGGTTGTGTATTACTCGTGCAGCTTGTATGCCATTCTATAACATTGTGTATGTTAGGATTGTATCTTAGTTGCATTTCATGCATGTCATGCATATTGCATCGTGTTCGGGATAGGAGTTAACCCGGGCACGGGAAATGACGTGCGTTTCGTACTCCGAGTGACGGAACGTGTCTCAATTCCACCAGTCACCGACACTCCGGATTATCCATGATGGAGTTAGTTTGTTTGTGTTTCCATGTGCATTCATCCTATATTGAATTGTGCAATTCGACTCCTCGGCCATCATGCATCGAGATGCGTAATTGGTGGCACGAGGATCGAGGCATGCATACATTTGTGAAAATACATTGCTATGTCCCTTTCCTGCTCTCTGTTGCAGCAAATCAAGAACCAGCAGTCTTCCGAGGCTTGGCACGTATTTCAGAACAAGTGCAAACAGAGGCTAATTGGGGCATCGTCATGGATTTCCCGCAAAGGCAATCCGGGCATGCATCATTCATCATCCGGAATGGAATCAAGGCAGTCCCTGGCTTGCATGCCAGTTTATATTATTTTCTTAGTTAATTTGTTAATTAATTAGGACTTGTACATATTGGCTGTAAATTTTGGACTGTACTATTCTTTTTTTATTTGGGACTATATATTTATTCGGACCCTCTGCGCGAGGGCAATGCTGTAATAAGTGTGCGTGAGTGTGATGTATGTCTTCCAACCCCACGTCTTTCTCCCTTTTATTTCCTGTTTAATGATGGTTAGATTAGGGCATGTTTCAATTAGCATACAGTATGATAGCATGTTTGCATTCATTCATCTGTTTTGCATGCACCGGGCTCGGCGCATCATACTAACTGCATTGTATTTCAATTTCAAAATTGAATACTTGTTAGCTGTTGCATCTCATATGCCATGTTTAGAATAGCCGAGCCTGCTATAGTTGCATTTTTGCATGTGTTGCATTAGGCATTTCTGTATAGTTAGGATCATGCATGGATTTCTAATTAGCTTCTTTTTTGGCTTGGAGTACTCGGTGAGTTTTATGCTTTAGCATCCTTGCATGCGTGTGAGCGACTGCCATGAATAGCATGTTTACCATGAGCTATTTTGCTTAAGTGATATATCTGCCTGAAATGCCTTGGGTGAAGGTCGGGTTGTTTAGATTGGAATAAATCATCAAACTGTTTGTTTTAAGCCCACTAGATAGTGGCAAAAACCATGTTTTCTAAGCCCACCTGAGGGTGGCAAAATTACATTTTAAGCCTACTTGCGAGTAGCAAACCACCTTTCAAAAACAACACAAATGTTTTTTTCCAATTCAGGCGACCCGGTCTATACTTGTATGCTGTGCGTATCACATAGTAATCTAGGCTAATAACCGCGAATAAGAACGCATAATGTTTTCAAAAATAGATATCATGGTTAGTAGAGGCCGATCTTTGATCGGGCGAGCGGGGGTGCTCACGAAGTGACCTCCCCTAATCGTACCCAAGTTCCCGAGCCGATGCAACCTTTGGTGATGACGGACACGTGGCCTTTTGGCACCGAGTCAGGGTTTCCTAAATTTCCCAAAATAAAATATTTAGGTGGCGACTCTGTATCTGGCAAAGCAGTCCATGTTTGGCACTTCTTTCAAAAAATCTGTTTTCTCAAAACGATTTGCCGGATTTGGACTCTTTGGTTCAGACTTAGAACCGTGACAATTTTAGAGTCCTGAGCTGTAGTGACCCCAAATGAACGGAACGGGACTCACCTTCCCGGGGCGTTCGGGGACGTCTACACTACCTGATACGTCACTGAATTTATCTTCTTAAGGATTTCATAAGGTCCAACATATCTTGGTGCCAATTTGCCTTTCACGCCAAACCGTGTCTAGCCTTTCATTGGAGTTACCTTGATATATACGTGATCCCCAACTTCATATTCCCTATCTCTTCTTTGGACATCGGCATAGCTGTTCTGGCGGCTTTGTGTAGTTTTCAGTCTTTGCTGAATCAATTTCACATTTTTAGTTGTTTCTTGCACAAGTTCTAGTCCCAACAACGGTTTATCACATACCTCAGCCCAACAGATCGGAGATCGACATTTTCTACCAATACTTGAATGGTAGCTATTATTATACACAAACTCGGCCAACGGTAAGTAGGTTTCCCAACTGCCATGAAAGTCTAGAGCACACATCCGTAACAAGTCTTCCAACATTTGAATGGTCTGTTCAGATTAACCATCTGTCTGTGGATGATAAGTACTGCTTAACCTCAATTCAGTTCCCAGAGCTTACTGTAGACTCTGGCAGAATCTTGAAGTGAACTTAGGATCTCTGTCTAATACAATAGATATTGGTGTGCCATGTAATCTCACAATTTCGTTAACCAACTTATTTGCATTATATAGTGATTTAACAAGTAAGAAATGCGCGGATTTCGTTAAACAATCAACAACTACCCAAATAGAATCCATACCTCGAGGAGAGCGAGGTAATCTCACAATGAAGTCCATGGTAATGTGTTCCCATTTCCATTCTAGTATTGGAAGCGGCTGTAATAAACCAGCGGGTCGTTGATGTTTAACTTTGACTTGTTGGTAGCACAAACATCGGGCTACAAAATTTGCAATGCTCTTTTTCATTCCAGGCCACTAGAAATTTTATTTCAAATCATGATACATCTTTGTGTTTCCTGGATGCATGGCAAATTTGGAGTTGTGAGTTTCTATCCTTAAATCAAAACAATCCGGCACACAAAGACAACTCTGAAATTTCAACACATTGTTTTCAAATACAAACCCGGGCCTTGGTTTTGAGTCAATTTCATTCACAATCTTTTTTAGGAACTCATCTTGTAGTTGTTTCTTTTAAAATTTTTCGATGATTGCAGGCTGGGCAGAGATAGCAGCTAAGGTCCCACCTTGTTCTCGTAGTACAACTTCAATTTCATTCTTTTCCAAATCGCATAACAATTCTGTCTGTCCGGTGAGCAAACTTAACAAACTGGCAATAGACTTTTGGCTCAAAGCATCTACGGCTGTATTGGCTTTCCCTGGATGATACAAAATCTGTAAATCATAGTCTTTGATTAACTCTAACCATCTTCTCTGTCTCATGTTCAATTCTTTTTGGGTGAAGAAATATTTGAGTCTTTTATGGTCTGTGTATACTTCACAAGTCACACCAAACAAATAATGACGCAAAATCTTTAAAGCAAAAACCACAGTTGCCAGCTTAAGATCATGAGTCGGGTAATTATTTTCTTGGGGTTGGAGTTGCCAAGAAGCATAAGCAATTACCTTTCCATTTTACATTAATATATAACCTAAGCAGTTATAGGAAGCATCACTATAAATCTGGAACCCATCTATTCTATTTGGCAAAGTCAGGTTTGGTGCAGTTACCAGTCTAGCTTTTAATTATTGGAAGGTGGACTCTCTTTGATCATTCTAATCAAACGCGACATTTTTCTAGGTTAACTGGGTCAATGGCATAGCAAGTTTTGAAAAGTCTTTCACAAATCTTCTGTAATAACCTGCAAGTCCCAAAAAACTTCTAACTTCTGACACATTTGTTGGTTTAGGCCAGTCCACAATAGCTTCAACTTTCTATGGGTCAACAGAGATACCATCCTTGTTGATTGCATGCCCCAAAAAGGCCACACTGTCAAGCCAAAATTCACATTTGGACAATTTTGCATACAATTTATTTTCTCTCAGAATCTGTAAGGCAATTCTCAAATAATTCTCATGTTCTTCCCTGCTTTTGGAGCAAATCAATATATCATCAATAAAGACAATAATAAATTCATCCAGAAATTGTTTGAATACCGTATTCATTAAATTCATGAACGTTGCAGGTGCATTAGTTACCCCAAATGGCATTATCAAAAATTCATAGTGTCGATATCTAGTTCTAAATGCAATCTTCTCTATGTCTTCTGCCTTGACCTTTAACTGGTGATATCCGGATCTAAGGTCAATTTTAGAACACACTTGGGCTCCCTGAAGTTGGTCAAACAGGTCATCTATTCGGGGTTATGAATATTTCTTCTTTACGGTTACTTTATGCAAGTCACGGTAATCAATACACAGTCTCAAAGATCCGTCTTTCTTTTTAACAAACAACACAGAGGCTCCTCAAGGCGAGGTACTCGAATGGATGAATTTCTTATCTAAGAGTTGTTGGAGTTGAACTTTTAATTCTTTCAGTTCAGAAGTCGACATCCTATACGGAGTTTTAGAGATAGGTTGTGTTCCAGGTACTATATCAATGGTAAACTCAATTTCCCTATCAATTAACTTGCCAGGTAGGTCATTAGGAAACACATTCGGAAAGTCACAAACCACAGGAATAAGTTCCACACTGGTACTATCCGAAGACATAGCCAACACACCGCATAAGTAGCCCTGACACCCTTTTCTCAAAAATCTTTTGACTTTCATATATGAAATCAAGTATGGTGGAGGAAATATCCCATTCCCTGTGAATACAAACTCAGGCATACCGGGTGGTTTAAACGTGGAGGTTTTATTCACACAATCAATAGTGGCACCATATTTCGACAACCAATCCATACCCAATATACAATCAAAGTGGTCAATGCTCAAAGGCAACAAATCAATGCACAATGTCATATCACCAATCAAAACATCACATGCAGGATATACATAAGTGCACATCATAGAACTTCCTAATGGTGTAAACACAGATAGTATGCAATTCATGCGTTCTAAAAATCTAGCCAACTTTCGAGAAAAAACATGTGATACAAATGAATGCATAAAACCAAAATCAATTAGCACATAGGCATTCTGTGCACAGACAGAAAGTATACCTGACACTACTGGTTCAGTATTTTGTACATCTCCGGGTACTAGAGAAAACACTCTCCCCTGCCTTAGTGTTTCATTCCCGGTGTTATTCTTGGCATTGGTTCTTGCATTGGGCCTCATTACTGGAGTAGATCTGGCCGAACTTGCTGTTGGATGGTTTGCATTGTCAAACCTCATTGGACAACCCTTAATCATGTGACCAGTTTTGTCACAATGAAAACACGCACCCGATGCACGATGACACATGCCTTTATGTTTCCTTCCACATTCTAAACAGATTAGCATAGACTCACTACTTTGGCTTGAGCTGCTTGAAGATCCAGTATTTTGCTTTTTGTTTGCGAAGAAGGAACATCCCTTCTGAAAATTAGACCCAGATCTTTTGCTTCTCCATTCTGTTATTGGTGCATTGGCTTGTTTCATTGCTGCTATTGTGGCTTCTGCCATTATCACTATGTCTAAGACTTCCACATAGGTAGGCAATTTCAAGACGCTTACTCGGTCAAACACTTCCAAATCCAGTCCGCCTTTAAATTTTCGTGCCTTCTTGTAATCAGTATCCACCATATGTGGAGCAAATCGAGCCAATTCAGTAAATTTGGCCTCATACTCGACCACGGACATCCTGCCTTGTTTAAGTTCTTGGAATTCAGAAACTTTCTGATCCCGAAAGCACTGAAGGAAGTATTTATCATAGAAGATTGCCTTAAATTATGCCCATGTCATATTCCCATTACTGTTTTAGATTAGCAACCACCACCTTCGGGCTTCATCTTTCAGAGTATAGGTGGCCAGAAGAACTTTCTGAACCTTAGAACAAGGGAATACTTCAAATAACTTCTCTATTTCAAGTAACCATGTCTCTGCTTTTAATGGTTCAATACCACCTAAGAAAGTCGGCGGTTTCATCTTCAAGAACTTTTGAGTTAAATTTATAAGATCATTGTTATCCGGCTCCGCTTGGATTGACGGGGATATAGGAGGTAATGGTTATTCCTCTGTTGTTGTTGAGCTATTGCCTTAGTTAAAGCTGCTAGCATTTGTTCCGTGCGGCTTATTCGAGCCTCAGATGATTCAGCTGTTCTATCACTTCTTGCATTTTTCATTTACTATAGGTAAACGGAACATCATAAACATAGGCAAATAGTCATTTTTACATTACTCAAATTATTTGTTTCCATATCTTGTGATCATAACCAGATTTATGCTTTCACTTTCAAAAACACACATTCACACATGCAGATGGAATGCCCCTACTTTTTACTAGGACATCCTAAGCTCGTATGGACTTGTGTGTGTGGTAGAACACGTGCTCTGATACCACTCTGTCACGACCCAACCCGCCCCTATAGGTTTAGCGTCATAACTGGCCAGTAATCTTTTGATTACCAAAGGCCTCTTAACATAATAATGTACAATTAGGGACTGCGAAAGCAAATACATAAAATATATATAGTCTATCGAGCTGTAAAGATGTACATGAGACAGGTAATCTTAAACTTTTATAAACATATGAGTGACGTCAAAGGATACAGTATTTACACGTCACTTCTCTTCAATTCTTAAGCAAGTCCCACTTTGGTTGAATTCAAGTCTACCTCCCTCTCACTCTCTCTCACGTTTGTGTGTGTGAGTAACTCAAAAATGTGTTCAAAATGAAATAAAAAGATGAGTGGAGCATGTGGGGAGTCTTATATATGCTCACTTGGTGGTAATTAATTAAAGTTAATTAAATGGGCATTAAGTTAATCTAATTTAATTGTTTTGAATCGAATTTCAATTAAACCTACCATAAAATTCTAAAAATTCTAATCAACTTAAAAATCAAGTCAATTTCTGAATCGGATGCCGAAAAGCCTTCAATTCACAAACCGAAACGAAACATGAACAAATCTTCTTACGTTAAACAGATATAAATACAAAAATGCAATGCACATGTAATTAACTCAGAATTTCCTCTTAATTACTTGTAGGCATACTTAAGCATGGATTAACGTTAATCATGGGTCAGGGTTGTTACATTATGCTAATCTCTAGGATTGTCTTCATTATCCTTTCTAAAGTATTCTTGACAATCTTGTTTGTTGCTTCAACCTGCCCATTTGCTTGGGCATAATAGGGTGAAGAATTCAATATTTGAATTCCATACTCCATGGCAAACCCTTTAATCTCATCTCCATTGAACATTGTGCCTTGATCGATAGTAATGGATTGGGGTAAACCAAACCTATGGATCACATTCTTTTTAAGAAACTCAATGACTTGAGTCTATGTCACCACTTTTAAAGGTACTGCTTCTACTTATTTGGTAAAGTAATCAGTGGCTACTAGCAAATAAGAACGTGCTTTTGAAGAGGCTGGAAAAATTTGCCCTATCAAATCCATGGCCCATCCTCTGAAAGGCCAAGGTTTCACCACTGAATGAAGATTTATGGCTGGAACTTTTTGAATATTGCCATATTTCTGGCAACTCTGACATCCTTTCACATACATTATATAATCTGTTCTGATAGATGGCCAAAAATAACCATACCTATTAATCAACCATCTCATTTTATCACCAGGCTGATGGGTCCTACAAATTCCCTTATGTGCTTCAGCCAAGGCTTTCATTTGGTCTAACTTACTAATACAAAGTAAAGTCAAACCATCATGAGCCTTCTTAAATAAGTTATCTCCCATGACAACATAATTTAAGGCTTGACATCGTACCTGCCTATTACTCATTTCACTAGGATTCGACAGGTATTTTATTAAGGGGAATCTCCAATCTTCTTCTATCACATTTAAAGTAAGAATAGGCAAGAAATTTATACACTTATTCCTAAGTGCAGAAAAGTTTTTTCTCTTAATTCGAATCACCTTTTCTTGAGCTCCCTTAAGTATTTTTAAACCAGAAACTGCTTGAGCCATCTCACTGGCTTCTTTATTCTCCAATCTATATCTGTGTGTAAATGTGACATGGTCAAAGAAACTGATTAACCATTTGACCTCAATTAGATACTTCTCCAAAGCAACACTTACACACTTGAATTCTCCCAAGACTTTCTTAATGACCAACTATGAATCCCCAAAAACTTGAAGACTTCTAATTTTGAACTCTATGGCCAACTCTAGGCCAATTAACAGAGTTTCATACTCAGTTTGATTACAACACTGAATATGTTGTGCTTCGAACTGATATCCAAATTAGTACATTTGCTTATTTGGTGCAATCAACACAATACATGCTCATACTCCTTTATTTGTCTTTGAACCATCAAACATCAACCTCCAAGGTTCATTCTCCACCATATTGATTTTATATAAATCTAAATCGACAGATGTACAAGGATGTTTTACTAGAAAATTAGCCAAGGCTTGCCCTTTGATTGCTTTTTGTGGCACATACTTGAGACAATATTCAATTAATGCTAAAATCCACTTATCCTGTCTTCCTCTCAAGATTGGTTTAGACAACATGTACTTGATGACATCTATTTCTGCTATCACAAACACCTCTGTGGGCAGCATATAATGTCTCAGTTTAATGGCAGCAAAATAAAGTGCCAAACATAGCTTTTCGACAGAGTTATACCTAGTCTCAACATCATTTAACCTTCTACTTAGGTAGTAAATGTCTTGTTCATGACCCATATCATTTTCTTGAGCCAATAAACAACCAATCAATAGGTCAGAAGCTGAAATGTAGAACTTCAGAGGCTTTCCTGCCATTAGGGGCAAAAGCACTAGAGGGTTTGCCAAATATCTTTTGAGTAAATCAAAAGCTTCTTGATGGCATGTTTCACACTTAAACTCATGGTTTGACTTGATTTTCACCAAAGGAGAAAATGCTAAAGTTTTCTTAGCCAAATTGACTATGAATCTCCTTAAAAATTTTACTTTTCCAAGAAAACTTTGCAACTCTTTTTTGTTAGTTGGGGGTTTTGCCTCCAAAATTGCTCTGGCCTTATTAATATCCACTTCTATCCCTTTGTGGTGTACTAAGAAGCCCAAAAAATTTCCAGCAAATACCCCAACTGCACACTTTAAGGGGTTCATTTTAAGTTTGTAAGTCCTCATTCTTTGAAATGTCTACTGCAAATGTTCCATATGTTCATTAAAACTGTCAAATTTGATGGCTACATCATCTATGTAGACTTCTAAATATTTTCCAATCAAATCATGAAAAATAAAGTTCATTGCCCTCTGGTATGTTGCTCTTGTATTTTTTATTCCAGAAGGCATGACTACCCATTCAAATGTCCCTAAAGCACCAGGACACCTGAATGATGTCTTGTGTGTATCTTCTGGGTTAATAAAAATTTGATTATACCCAGTATGACCATTCATAAAGGATAAAATCTTGCTTTTGGCTGCTGAATCCACTAACAAGTTAGTTACTGGCATGAGATATTCATCTTTGGGAGTTGCTTGATTTAGGTTTCTAAAATCTATGCTCACTCTTAATTTGCCATTTTTCTTCATAACAGGGACAATATTAGACAACGACTCAACATATCTGGCTGTTCTAATAAAACTTGCTTTGAGTAATCTTTCAATTTCTTCATTAACCAATAAGGTGATTTCATTGGTTATCCTTCTTAGGGGTTATTTATGGTGAAAGAAATTTCCTTTAATTGGGAGCCTATGCTCTACCAATGTTCTATCTAATCCAGACATTTCTTCATAATTCCATGCAAAGCAATCCACATACTCAGAAAGCAAACCAAATAGTTTGCTCCTACATTCATAGATAGATTAGTATTGACATAGATGGGCCTTTTACAGGCCTTACTCCCTATGTTATATTCATCTAAAAGATCCTGCACATCTGCCTTGAGGTCATCAAGCTTAGCAGGAGCAGCCTTCAAATGTTCTAGTTGTACATCTTTACAACTCAGAGGGCTACTATCGATAACACATTCTGCCCAAGAACAATTAGGCAAACATTTAGGGCTAAACTTACTCTCTAAGAAGAAATAAGAAAGCCTAGAAAAAGTAGATCTAATTACATTAGTTGTCTCATCCAGCTTCTTCTATCACTTGTACTTGCATTACTCTTTATCTTCAGTAACCTCCTCTATCACAGGGGTAGACACCCCACTTTTGACCACCCGTAAGACTTAGGCACTTGGTCTAGCGCACTCAATGATGAAAACTGCATTGTGTGATTCGAGCTCTCGACGAAGAAATCCAACGTTGAGTCCTGAAATAATTTCAAAACCTTCCTATTTGTCCTATTCTTACCTCAGATGTTTATTTTTGAACATTGTGCTACCTTACACTAAGCCTGAAACAGGGAAATGATTTAGCATTTTAGGGCCCCGTCGTGCCCCATTGAGAGCCGGTCGTGGCTATTTGGGCCCAGCCGTGCCTTGCTGGCGATACATACTGTTCTGGCCAAGAGCCCTCCAGTTGTCTTTTTTTGAAGATATTTTTGACCTTTTTTTGCTCAAATTCTATAAAAACGAGGTTATATCTCTGTTTTGAGGGCTGAAAAATTTCAAAAGAACATATACACACAAGAGAGATCTCCTTCTTCCTATATATGTCACCTTTGAGCCAACATATCTCTCTTGATCAAT